CCTCGAGGGAGGTCATCCTCCTCCTCTGCTCTGCCCTGGGGAGGGCCCAGCTGGAGCATTGGGACCAGTTCTGGGCTCCCCAGTTCCAGGACAGGGAACTCCTGGAGAGGATATGAAGGGCTATGAAGATGCTGAGGGGCTGGAGCATCTCTCTGATGAGGAGAAGCTGAGGGACTTGGGGCTTTTTAGTCTGGAGAAGAGCAGACTGAGGGGGGATCTCATCAAGGGTGGTGTCAGTAGGGTGGGGCTGGTCTTTTCGCAGTGGTGCCCAGTGACAGGACAAGAGGAAATGGGCACAAACTGGGACAGAAGAAGTTCCATCTCAACACGAGGAGGAAATTCTTCACTGTGAGGGTGGCAGAGCCCTGGAAGAGGCTGCTCAGAGAGGTGGTGGGGTCTCCTTCTCTGGAGACATCCCAAACCCCGCCTGGACACGTTCCTGTGGGACCTGCTCGGGGTGGGACCTGCTCTGGAAGGGGAGGTTGGAGGAGATGATCTCCAGAAGTCCCTTCCAGCCCCATATCATGCTGGGATTCCATGATTTTTGGGCTCCTCCCAGTGGGTTTTGCACGAAGAAGGTGACGCAAGAAGACATTTCACCTCTTGGCTTCTCAGGATGCCCACTTTTTGCTGATTTTCCGTGTTGGACTTGGCACACGCAGCCCTGGCTCGGCCCCCACCCCCCTGACCACCCACCCAGGGAAAACCTGGTCCTACCTGGTGGTAGTGGGAGAGGAGCCCGTGGACGTCGGCCACGTCCTCGCTGGAAAGCTCCTTCACCACCAAAGTGCGGTCGTAGGAGAGGAGGAGGCGGCGGTCGCTGCCATCCCAGTGAGGGGGGCTCCGCGTCAGTGACACCTTGGGGACCAGGGGGATTTGGGGTGAAAAATGTGAAATTGGGGTCCCCAAAGCATGAGGTCACTCGGGGTGGGTGGAAAATCCAACCAAAGGGGTCACCTGGAATGGGGGGACACCAGGAGGTGACTTGGGGTGGGGTCAACCCAACCAGGAGGTCACTTGGGGTGGTGGGGTAACCATCCAAGGGGTCACTTGGGGTGGGGTCAACCCAACCAGGAGGTCACTTGGGGTGGGGGG